TTAAATAGGGGCAACTGTAATACCCCAAATTTTACCCTTATATTTAGTCAGTCATGTTGCATATCATCTCATATGTACATTTGCTAATCACTAACAAGTTATGAAGGTTTTTTGTTTTGCAGATTGGGTCTCAGGGGTATTTTGGTCGTTTCACGCAAATTCTGCTAATTTCTTGAAAAAAGGGCTGTTATTACGTTCTGAGGCATTTATTTGCCATTTGGGTCAAGGTGCCAGTATGTTTTGTCAGAAATATGATTGGACTCGGGGGCCGTGCTTTGTTTGATTCTGAAACATTTCCAAACAGTTTTGTTTCTTTTTATAAAGTTGGGTTGAAAAAGAAATGGATACTGTTAAGGTTATTTTGAGAAGTGATGTGATCAACGAGGTTTTTAATGTGAATTTGTTTGGATATAATCATATGGCGGGATATCATGTATAAAAGGCCAAGGAGAGGTTAAGTTTTAATAGTTGTGAAGCTTTTATTCATGAATATTCATAAGCTACAAATCAAAGTTGAATTTAAATAATTTATGGATGTTTATTCATGGATATTTAAATTCATAATTGAGAAAATAGAAATGAATATTTACTGGATTTTATTTCATAAACATCTAGAATTACAAGATGAAATGGAAGTAATTTTTGGATTTTTATTCATGATGATCTTTCATTTACAAAAGGATTATACATTTACAATGGGTATCTACTCTAGGTCCTAGAGTCCTAAAAAGAGAAAAAACTACAAGTTTCTTCATTGGTCCTCCCTTGAGTTCTTCACGCAACTCTTGATCACCTGCACATCAAAGCAAAAACAAACCACAGGAAAAGAGGTTAGAAGATTGTTTGACACTCTCAGAACATTATCATCATCGAGTGTCGGGAGGGTACGACTAAAGCCGCATCCTACTCCCGTTACCAATCTGAGCCACCGGCGTCAGATCAGGTAGTTATTGTTCTTATCATAAGGGACATCCGAGAGATAGAGAAAATAAAAGAAGTGGGGCTGATTCGTTTTGCCGCGATTGGATTTCCAGACTGATACGAGAATAAGGCAACATAGGCAAGTCTTGACTCAGACCCGGATGCCGGCAGGTCTGAGTCACCTTGATTTCAAAACTTCCAATATCTGAAAAACATAAGCATCATCAGAACTCAAAGCATAAAACAAAACTAGGAAGGGGTTCGCGCCAATACAGGTAGGAATAGCCACCAAAGGAAACAAATCTGTACCAAACAGAATGAAAATCAAGCCCACAGCAGAACAAGAGAAACCAAAATATGGTATCAAGCTGCATCAGTTCAAACAGAACAGAGAAATGAGACACAAAACAAGCTACTTCAAAATTACATAGGACAAGGTATCAAAAGTCTCAGCAGCATCAGTAAAGGCCATCAAACTTGGTTCAAGATCAAAGCAGATAAATTATAATGTTAGCAGCAGCTCTAAGGTCAAACAAGTAAGAAAATCCCATCAAACCAAATCAGAGCTAAAACTGCATCAAGCAATTAGTGTCTCAACACAAACTATCGATCATCAGAAAAGTACACCAGCGACATCAACATCTGCAAAGCAATATCAAGAGGTTTCAGTATCAGGCATCACGAAAAACATAAGAATGGGGCTACTGCTAAAATGTCACAGAAAAATCTATCTGCTAAGAATCATCAGCAGTTGAAACAACTCAAAGAGAATAAACGATAAACACCACGCGAAGATCCTCAGAAAGCAATCGCAGCATCATCGAAGAATACAAGCGTCGAGGGCTCAGATAAACATCATTGCCGTATACCTTCCTCGGCCATCCCGACTCAACCAAAGTCGTAGCATCAACCCTCTCTGAAAGAAGAAGAGGAAAAGGATCTGAGCTGCATCAAAAAGCAAACCATATCAGAAAAATAGAGAGATTTTGACTTGATAATGAATCCCAAAACAGATCAAAGCAAATCAGTTCAGACTACTAAAATTGAATCAAATCGAAAACGCATCAGCATAGTCCAGATTGAATTCAAGTAGAACAAATGAACTAATCCAGATATCAATCAGATCAAATAAATTCAGAGGTAATCCAAATGATCAAACAAAGCGAAGCTGGAAATGGAAAGTTTCGAGTCAAATGCATCAGGGAATATCTCCATTGGAACCAATCTAAATCAATTTGAGACAATCTGAATCAATCAGACAAGTCAATAAAGCAAGTCAGCCGAAAACGAATCAGTAGAGAGCAATTAAACAAATTAACGAAATCCCAATCGTATCAGAAAGCCCTTATTGGAACTCAATCTGAAAACCAAATGATCAAATCAAATCAAATCCCCATTTGCACTTAACCTGAATCAATCAAACAAATCAGTTCAGATTGCATTCAATCACAAAGTTCTGGAGATAGAAATCTTTGAACCGAATCAGAATAATCATATCAGCTAGGATCGATTAAACCCTAAAAAAGGGGAAACAGAGTTCAATCCGCATCCAATCGTAATCCAATCAATATCTGAGGAAATCACAACAAAATCAAATAATATCAACATAAAATCAAATCTCAGAAGTAACGCAAATCCAAGGCCCAGAAGTTAGTTATAAAAGGAATGTACAACCTGATGAAAAGGGGAGGGCCGTGAGAGAGAGAGGATCATAGAAACCCTAACGGGAGAATCGCGAAGGGGAGAACATCAAAGCGACGAAATCACGTACAAACCCCACGAACGAAATCGCGTAAATCACCAGAGCAACAATCTGACGCCGCGACCTCAGAATTTCTTCATCATTGGCCGCTAATCGCACGCAAGAACAAAACGTAAATCATCCATCTTTTCATAAATCATCTTGCATGTTTATTTTTTTTGCAGAAAAGTGAGAAACGAAGAAGATTATGGTGAACGGAAGAAGAAAGACGAGAGAGAGATGAGAGAAGAAGAAAACGTGAATGGCGCCGCAAGGGACATTAGGGTTCCCAGAACCCTAATTGTTCTCTAATTAGTCCAACCGGGTTGGGTCCGGGGTGATGACCGGCCCAACCCCTTATGTTTATTTTTTTATTATTTTATTTATTTTGTTTTTAAATTATGTTTTTTTGTTTTTAAATTGTTTTATATTTGTTTTAAAAAATTTTTGTGTAAATATTATAAATAAACAAAATCTTTTCATAATAAAATAAAAAAACCTCTTTTTTTAAAAATTAAAACTTTTTTTATATAAAACTAAAACTCTTATGTAAATATTAAAAATAAATAAAACTCCTTTTTTAAAAATAAATAAGAAAAACTTTTCTTAAAAATAAAAAAAATAAAACCTTTTAAAAGAGTAAAATATTTTTAAATTAAATCCTTTTTTTGCAAGCTAATATTAAAAATTGTAATAATCTCAAATTTGCATCTTTTTCTTTATTGTTCGTAATTAACTTGATTGCCGCTTAACTCTGCCCACTAACATCGTTTGTTCATTTTGCAGCTCATTACGTTTCCCATTATTTATGTCATTTTATTTTCTCACTCAAAGTTCATTATCATATTGTAACTGCTTCTCATATGTAACCTCGCGAATCTAATAATCGCGCTTTAAATTTCTGCCTTTAAACTTCTGTTTGCATGACTTTAACTTCTGTTTTATTCCCTGTTTACAATTCATTTATCTCACACATTTATCAATATTCCAATCACACTACACACATCCGAAGGTTAGGTCTAGCTTTTGGCCGCCGCGCCAATAGTCCTCAATTTCAAACCCTTTCACCTTTTCAAACCCTAATTTTCACAAATGCCTCGCCGCAGGCAAGATTATAACTTTACCCCTAGCATTAGGTCAAAGAGCCGCCGCGCTCATTTTAGGGTTTCCCGCCGCGGAATCCCTAACCTAATTTAACCCTAATTACAACTTAACAATTTACAACGTAGAGATTTGGAGTTTCTACACTCCGCGTAAGCGTGCCCTTAAGGCATGTTTATTCCCCTTGAGACCTTGACCACAGTCAAGAAGTCTCTAACTTCCCTTTTGAGGGGAACTACGATTACTCTGATTCCACTCCCGTAAGGATACGTAGGCACAAGATGCGATGTCTTGCCGAGTAAACTTAGAATTAACCCCTTAGGTCTCTTTTTCTCACTTTTAATCCTTTGTACATATACCTTAAGCAAATGAATAAAGCAAATAGTAAACATTTGAACAAAAGGTTCCCGTAGAGTACTACGGAAGTTTAGGGTGCTAATACCTTCCCTAAATTTAACCAACCCCCGAACCCTAGATCTTTCCCCGCGTTGTGTTTACAATGCAAAAATAAGTTTTCCCTTTTTGACCTTTTCCTTCGGATAAATCAAAGAGCGGTTGTGAATTGAATTGCGATTCAAACTCATTAATAGTTTGTGATCCTATTTCCACCGCAACAAGTTGACTCAAAGACTCAGAATATGCAAAAATGCATTTTTTTCATGTATTTAGCTACTTTTGAGATACTCTACCATATTGCAAGCTAGACCAACATGATCATACCTATATGGAACACATATTATACTTTTTTTTTATATGTATCTAAACATGTTTTTGTCCAATGTTTGAGGCAAGAGGAATAAGGTATGCATATGCGACATAATGATACCGTACAAAGTACATTTTTATTTATTTATGTAAGTTTTGACATCATTAAAACAAGTATAACTAACTATGAAGAACTTTGCCCTCAATTTCTACTATATGAGACTGTAAATTTTAAATTAATTATATGATATAACAAATTAATATATTTTTATTAGATGACACTTTTATATATCAATTAAAATTCATTTATAATGTTCTATAGTAAACAATACCTAAAAAATTATATATAAGTTTTCTCTTTAAAATATTTGGGATGAATATCCAATTTCACAACTTGCAAAATCAGTGAACCGAGAAGAAAAAACAGTGTAGCACTGGCGCGACTTGTTCTTCTAGGAAATCCCTAACCCTAACGGCTAGATCTACCCCCAAATCTCTCTTCTCTCGTTTAATTCCCCAAACTAAAGCTGCAATGGTCAATGAAACTGAACCCAAAGTGCGTTTTTTTTTCATTAACTTCTTTCAGATTTCATTGTCAATTTTTTGATTTCTCTCTTACCAGTATGATTAGTCTAAATCGATTTCTCTTTATTTTGTAGGTTTGTGATAATGCAATTCCGCCACCAAAAATTGGTAATTTCCCCCTCTTTTATTTGCTTTCTTTTGTCAATTTGGTTATAGGTTTTTGAGAAGGGTTTAATCAATGTACTGTTTTTGTTTAATTTAAAAATAAACTAAAATTTGTATAGAAATCAAGAGGGTGTATGAGGATGGAGATCAGAATGAAGTGATTACAAAGAAGCAGAAGAGAGACGAGGTTGTTGTAAAACAAGAGGTTAAAGAGGAAACTAATTCAGATGATTCTGAACACGACAAGGTTTTTTTAACATGAGTATTTAGCTTCTCAATTTATGTATTATGATTTATAGAAGCTTTAGGATCATATCAATATATCTATAGTGATAAATTTTTAATTTGTAAGTTTTTTTTACTATTGTTTTATTGATTCTGGTTATGCTTAATTTTTTGCCTTGTGTTCAGAAACTTGAAGCTAAAAAAGAATCTGGTACTGGTTGCGGATCTTTGAAATCATCAGATGATGGTATCTCAGATCCCGATTCTCACGGAAGCCCTGACGAGGATAATGTAAGTACTGAGTTATTGTGGGCTTTTAGTGGTTGATTCTTGTGCTATAATATGTGTATTAAGAAACGTTGGTTAATGCTTGAAAATCAATGAATTTTTTTCTTCTGTTCATGTATAGTCCAGTTAGAAGAAAATAGTAGGGTACTTTGTGCTACTTGAAAAAATATTCATCAAGACACATCCAGTTGTAGGTCGGGCATTTCGGAGGGGTTTAATATGATGATAGACAGTTTGTTTTGAAGTATTGATTTGTTACATATAAACTGAAAATTACTGACTAATCTCTTATATGCTTAGGGTTGGCATTTGGCAAAGTTAGTGTTTGTTTTTGTTATTTGTTGTAAGGGTGATGGCTTTGAACTAAGGGATGAAAAGGCGCAAAAAAATAAAGATGGAATATTTGGTGTATAGAATTTTGTTATTTGTTCTTATCTTTTATTTGCACTTTAATCTTACTTTTTCTTTTGAAGTTCAATGATGCATGTGATGCTGAAAAATGTGTTTTAAAAACTGTTAAAAATGAATACTTCTAGTGATACTTATAGCTTTAATAATGTTGAAAAGTGCCACAATGTTAAATAAGTTAGTGTTTTGAACAATGAGGAAGTGCATATAGTTGTTCTTAGCAGAATTTTTACAATCTTGGCTCCTCTGTTTTAATTGCAGCCCGAAGATTTGCAGAATCCTGAGTACAATGAGGAAGAAATAGAGGGAAAAGTCTCCATAACACCTCAGGAAAGGGTACACATTTCATAATACAATTTCCTTTTTTATGCTTATATAGGAATAGCAGACATGAAAGAAGTTAGGGATGTATGAAATGTTTGATGCTGCCTCCATTAAAACAAAAGTTGTAGTTGACCAACATTTTTCTTCCTGCAATGTAAATCACCAAATTAGTTATGTGATCTTATTTCCTGCATTTTTTGCAGCACGAAACTCCAGCCAGACTAAATGAAAAATATGCTGCACCGAAGACAATAATTGTTAGAAACTTGTCATATAGTGTGGAGCGGGCTGATATGTATGTATTACTTTTCACGCAACTTCCTGCCGATTATTTTCTGGATTATTTATCTAATTTCAAGATTATTCAGGGAAGATATTTTCAAAGATTGTGGTGAAGTTGTTGATATTCGATTCAAAATAGATTGCGAAGGGAGGTTTAAAGGCTATGGATATGTCGATTTTGGAACAGCAGAAGCAGCAGAAAAAGTAAGTTTGTGCCCATTTGTTATCTCTGCAAATCATTTTACAGAGATAATTTTACCTTTGGAAGCAACAATGCTATATACTTTTCAGATATACGAAGGGTAAAATTTGAACAATTTGCATTTATTGTAATATTTTTTTCATTCCTAGGGTTCCAATGGAATTTATTGATATTGTTATAATTATTGTAAATATGGTAATTATCTAATTAAGTAGTCTGGGCAATTTTGATTCCTTGTGCTTATGACTAATTATATAATTATAATTGATTGACTGTGCAATTGAAAAGGGGAAATCTCTGTCATGATCTTATTAAAACACATTATTGCACATGTTGTAAATATTATTCTTGTTTGTATTATTACTAAGTAATATAATGTTATGTATTTTTAATTTTGATTTACTAATATGGTACCATAGATGACTCGGCGTATCGACAAATGTTGTCATATAACTTCATGTTAACTTTTTTTGTGTGCTATGCTCTATATATGTCCATAATACAAGAATCACTAAGTGTACTCTTAGTAGGTGTCATTGGCTATATGCATCATCCAACCCGACGTCTTTTCATAACATTTTATATGTCTGGGTTTTCTCTTAGTAGGCGTCGTTGACAGTGATTGATATGTCTGAGTTTTCTTTTATACTCCCATATATTGCTTGTTTTGATATAGCTCTTGCATCATCTATGGGTATGTTTGTTGTAGCATTGCTCTATGCGAAGACATATTGAGTTGAGAATAATTTTTTTTTTTTTGTTGCTTTTTGTCAATCATAGGCCCTGGAATTGAATAATACTGAACTATTGAATCGCCGCATCAAAATTGACATATTCCGTACGGGTGGAGATCTTCAGTCTCACACTTTAAAGGGTTTTGACGCATCTCTTGTAGATAACAAGGTGATTTTTTCTCAATCATATTGATTTGTTACATATATTCCTGCACAAGATTGCAGTACATAACATTTCCTTATCTCATATTTTCATGGTTAATTAGTGTTTTTATCAGTAAATATTACATTTGCATGAAGATGTTTGATGCTGCTTCCGTAGAACGAGAGTAGTAAATGACCAATATTCTTTCTTCATGCAATTTCAATTTGCTAATCAGTTGTTAGTTGCTCTCTGGAATTTTGCAGCCTAAAAGCCCAGCTACACCAAATGAAACAATCGGTGCATCAAAGACCATATATGTCAGAAACTTGTCATACACTGTGGAACGACCTGATATGTATGTATGCTTTTTTAAAAATCTTTTTGTGTTGATGCTAATTAATTATTCTGTTTCATTATTATCATTTTAATACTGTTCAGGGAAAACCTTTTCAAAGATTGTGGAGAGATTGTTGATGTTCGTCTCCATACAGACCGCGAAGGAAATTTTAAAGGCCACGGACATGTTCAGTTTGCAACAGCAGAAGCAGCACAAAAGGTAAGACTTATGACCATGCAATTGATTTTAGAACTGCCCAAAAGCAATAATGGCATATACTTTTCATATATACTTGGGTTAAAATTTTAGCAGTTTGATTTTATTTCAATACTTGTTTTCCTTCCTAAAATTTTTGATGGAATTTTTTAATTTCATTTGGCTGCTTTTCTGAACTTAAGTCCATGACACTATTGTTTAAAATATTCTCTGCTTTCGGTCTTGTGTAAACTAAAGCTATCGCGGTTTTGTCCTTAGACAAAATCCTCATGGATATAATATCTTTCATATTACTTGACGCTAATCATTTAAATTATCTCGGAATTTAAATTATCTTGTAGGATCAGTTTCTGATCTTTAGAGATCTCTTAAGACTAGTTTCCCTATTACTCAGGCATCATTATGATTTTATGGATTTCTCTTTTTTATTTAGGATTAGGAGTCTTGTATTATAAGGTAACAAAGGGGATTTCTATTTAGTTTTTTGTCTCAAGTCAGTGCCAAGTTACTATCAAGTTTATGATATCATATTATATGATATGATAATTCTACTTCTTTTATCTCTAGTCTCATAACTTTAACGTGGTATCAGAGCTTTACCATCCTCTAACCTATTTCATTATTATTCTGCTGCTGAGTTCTGCTAAGTATGAAGGAACTCTAATAATTAGCTTACAAAATTGAAAATTTTCTCTCCTCCACTGTGTTCTTTTTCGTAGCTCCGTAGGATTTTTCCTGCCACTGACCGTTGCTAGAGAATTTTCCGGCAACCTTTTCTGGTGAAACCACCACAATGCTTTCCCATTTCTAAACTGTTTACTGCCTAAGTTTCAGGTCTATGTATATCTGTGTGTGAGTGTGTGAGGTTCTTTCTTGTATTGATATGCCTTTTGTATCATCTATTATATGCTTAAGCTTGTTAAACTTTTATTCTATTCAAAGACTTGTTGAGTTAAGAATCAATTTTCTTTTCCAATTGTAGGCTCTTGCGTTCAACAGGAAAGTAGTTTTTAACCGTATCATGTTTGTTGGTTTAGCTTTGGAAAGGGGTAAATATGCCCCCAATGGAAGGTAATTATTTATGTAGTCTGTTTTACTCATAGTGTCTTTCAGGGGTGGCAAATCAGATGGATTTGGATTCTAATAGATGGATCAAAACAATCTATTAATCTATTTACAACCTACTAAAACTTTACAAAAATACAATCCATCCGATCCGTTCATTAACATATTTTCAGTTGTTAGATATCCATCCATCTATAAATTAATTTAAATATTTTAATCAATTTTTTAAAGTGATTTATTTTATTATGAATATCTCTTAAATAATTTTTTTCTACATTAAGTTTTTTTTTTAAATTACATAAAAAATATTTTTTAAAACTCTCTATCTCATTAAAACACCTGTATGATGAGATAGCCTATTTTAATATAGTTGTTTTTTTGATGAACACAAACTGCTTTTTCTCAAGTATTTGTATTTTATTTAGAAACTTAGCTAATTGTAAAATCTTATATACATATCTTTTCATTTTTATGGAATTTTTTCAAGAATATGCAGAATAGCCTTTACTATCTTCTACTGATTCATTTTAATATCTTCCCTTATGCCAACATCTTCTTTCAATATCTTCCCTTATGCTAACATCTTCCTATTTCTCTTTCTTTAATAATTTAAGCAGCTGGGCCTGGAGCAGCTCATTGCATAAGGATGAAAGATTACAGTCTCAAACTGTACCTGTTAAGTGTATTAATACATCTCTTGCAGAGGGCAAGGTAATTTTTTCTTTATAATATTAGTTTGTCGCACCAGCTTCTGTACAAGATTGGGCGAATCTCTCTTTTGTATTTTTTCTGTATAATATCTGTATATATCTACTAGCCAATGATGCTGTGCTGACGAGTTCACTTCTTTAATGGATTATAGTCGAGTTGTGCAAATGAGGTTAAGGATGTAGAGATGTTTGATGCTGCCCCTGCTGAGAATAAAGTTGTAACTGACCAATAACCTCTCTTTATGCAATGTAAAATATCAAATCAGTGATATAATTATTTATTTCTTGAATTTTGCAGCCTGAAACACCAGCTACACAAAAAGAGATAAATGCTGCATCCAAAACAGTATGTGTTAGAAACTTGTCATTCGATGTGGAACGGGCTGAAATGTATGTATTCATTTTCTTTCTGGTTCTTGTTGATTATTATCAGTTTTAATTTGTCTAATTACAAATGTTTTTAGTGAAAATATTTTCAAAGATTGTGGAGAAGTTGTTGATGTCCGTCTCCATGTGGATGTGGAGTTTGCAACCGCTGAAGCAGCAGAAAAGGCAAGCGCTTGACCTTGTGTAGTCTGTGCAAATCATTTTAGGACTGCGAATAGCATTCTGCGGTTAGTTGTATCTTTCCGTTGAAATGTGCCTTTGGATGCTGCATTTTTTTTGTTTAAATAAGTCAAGACAGAGTATCTATTATTTTATTGTTAGTGGAGAAATTAGTTTCCTATTTTCAGCTTACTAGATAGTTTCTTATTTGTTTTCCACTTAGTTAGTAGTGGCTGATAGAATTATGGAGCACAATTTTCCATTAAGTTATTATTTTTCTTTGTATTTAAACAATAGTTTATCAATAAATAAAAGCAAGCTTTGCAACAATACTTTATGCACCGCCGTTTTCCTTTTCTTGTTCAAAACAAAAACCTACAATTGGTATCCGAACTCTCATCTTGAGGGACTTGTCACATTGATAAAAAATTCAAGTTTTTCAAAAGTTGCTCCTCCTCTCTTTGATCTTTAGTCAGTAAGAATTGAGTCTTGAAGATTTAGACCTTTGGGAAGCCGTAGAAAAGAATTGTGAAGTTCCTCCGTTGTCGAATAATCCTACTATGACTCGGATAAAATATCATAAGGAGAAAAAAACAATGATGGCAAAGGCAAGATCATGTATTTTTTCCGGTGTTTCAGATACAATTTTCATTAGTATCATGTCCCTCAAAACACCAAAAGTAATATGAGACTATTTGAAAGAAGAATATGCAAGGGATGAGAGAACTCGTAGCATACAAGTGCTGAATTTGAATGGAAAAGAATGAAAGAATCTGAGACAATCAAAGAATACTCAGACAAATTGCTTTCCATTCCAAATAAAGTTAGATTACTTGGTACTAACTTTGCTGATTCTAGAATTGTAGAATTTTTATTGGTTATAGTGGCAGAAAGATAGGCATCTCTAGGCTCTTTAGCGAACACGAAGGATCTTTGTAAGATCATTTTAACACAAGTCATACATGCCTTGCAAGCCCAAGAGCAACAAATGCTTATGAGGCAAGATCATATTGTTGAAGGTGCTTTATCAGTCAAGAGTCTATTTGAAGCTACACTTTATGTCAACCATGTTGGTGTTGATATTTTAATCTTTTCTTTGTATGTTGATGGTCTTTTAGTAACAAGAAGCAACTTAGTACTAGTTGAAGAATTCAAGCCAAAAACAAAAGATGTCTTTGAGATGATTGATCTTGGTCTTATGACTTATTTTTTGGATATGGAAATCACTCCTAAGAATGAGATAATATGCAAAAGAGATTTAAAAAAGTTTAAGTTTGAATGCAAAACAATGAACACTCCTATGGGAAAAGTTCATTAAGGAGGATGAGGCCGATAAAGTTGATGAAACTCCTTTTAGCAGGTTGATCGGGTGTCTAATGTATCTTACATCCACAAGGCCCAACATCGTATTCTCAATGAATTTGTTGTCAAGATTCATGCATTATGCTAGTGAATTGTACTTGAATGGAGCAAAAAGTTGTAAGATACATTAAGGAACTATCCATTATGGAGTCAAGTACAACATGGCAAAGACCTCAAAATTATTTGGCTATTCAGTCAGTGATTAACAGGTAGCTTGATGATATGAAGAGTATTTTAGGGTATTGTTTTAACATAGGTTCAAGTGCTTTCTCTTGGTGTTCAAAGAAGCAATAAGTTGTAGCTCAATTAACAACAAAAGTTGAGTTTGTAGCTGCAACAGCAGCGGTAAAACAAACTATTTGGTTAAGGAATATCTTAGCAAATTTGGGTCTGAAACAAGAGCAAAGTTCACAAATTTTTGTTGATAATCAAATAACTATTTCAACCTCATTAAATCCAATATTTCATGGGAGACCAAGCATTTTAATGTCAAGTTATTTTACTTTAACATAAGTGCAAGAAAATGACGATGTAAGTTTGGTTTATTGTAAAATAGAAGATCAAGCTGTTGATATGTTTACCAAGTCGTTTCCACTTAGTAGGTTTGAATTTTTAAGAAAAAATCTTAGAATTTGCAGCCTCCAAAACAAGGAAGAGTGTTGAAACGTGCCTTTTGATGCTGCATTTTTTAGTTTGAATAAGTCAATGCAGAATATCTATTATTTTATAATTAGTGGACAAGTTAGCTTTCTATTTTTCAGCTTACTAGTTAGTTTCTTATTTGTTTTCCACTTAGTTACTAGTGGTTGCTAGAATCATAGAACACTTTATTTTTCTTTGTATTTAAACATTAGTTTCTTATTAAATAAAAGTAAGCCTTGTGATGGGTTGATGTGTGAAAAATATGAACAAACAGTGGAGAAAAGAATAAAGAGATGGAAGAAAACTGCAGTGGAATTAATGACAAATCAATTGCAAAAGTAAGAGAATGAATAATGACAAAATAACAAAATAACAAACTGATAGTGACAGTCACTGTCAGCCCCTGTAGCACGCAGTGCTCCCAAATCACTGTGAAAGTAACCCCACACAATAACAGAATTCTCAGCCCCCCTATTCTCTCTGACTCCACCCACTAATATAGTACTTCTCATGCAAATCATGCAGCCAAGTCATTATCCCTTATTCCTTTCCTTTTCTTTCTCTTGTAAACCCTCAAAACCTTTGGCTTGGGCCCACTGTCAAGGCCCACCACTTGATTCACCTTTCTATCAACTCTCGCCTCCATAGAAACAACCTTGTCCTCAAGGCAAAAATCTGGAAATTGACCCTGCAACACTGCATTATCCTCCCATGTCACATCCTCCCATGTCTTGTGCTTCCATTTAATGAGACTTTGCTGCATAGTCACTCCTCCCTTCACAGTCACCCTAGAGCCCATGACCTTCTCTGGATACACACCACACTCTCATCTGTGAGTTCCAAATCTTTGGGAAGTTCCCCTAGCACCCGATAGTCTCCAACTGCTTTCTTCAATAACGACACATGAAAAACAGGATGGATTCTGGACTGATCAGGCAGTTGCAGCCTATATGCCACTTCTCCAACCTTAGCTACAACTTTGAAAGGCCCATAAAAATGTGCCGCTAATTTTCGATTGATCCATTTCACCACTGAATGCTGTCTGTGAGGTCGTAATTTCAAAAAAACCCATTCACCAACCTGAAAACGCACATCTCTTCTCTTCTTGTTAGCATATCTTGCCATCTGTTCTTGCGCTCTTTGTAGATGTGATTTAAGTTGTTTTAGAGCCTCATCTCTCTCACTTAGCTCTAATGACACCGCATCCACCTTAGTCTCATTTGATAAAAACCGCAAAATACTAGGAGGATGCCTTCCATAAACCACTTCAAAAGGAGTTTTCCCAATCGACACATGATAGGTGGTATTGTACCAAAACTCGGCTCAAGAGAGCCAATTTGACCAATTTTTGGGCTGATAAGAAGCAGAGCATCTCAAATAGCTTTCCAGACATCTATTTATCACTTTCGTTTGGCCGTCCGTTTCTGGATGATAGGCATAACTCATCTGCAATTTAGTGCCTTGCGATTTAAATAATTCCAACCAGAAATGGCTCACAAATAAGGGATCTCTGTCACTAATAAGGGAATTTGGAATTCCACGAAGCCTCACTATTTCTTTTACAAACAATTCAGCAATGGACTTCGCTGTGTAAAGGTGCTTGAGCAATATGAAGTGATTGTACTTGGACAACCTCTCCACAACCACAAGTACAACCTCATAACCCTTAGACTTAGGCAAACCTGTAATGAAATCTAGAGAAAGATCCTCCCAAATACCATTAGGAATGGGAAGAGGTTGCAGCAAACCTCTGGGAGTCGTGGCCGCATATTTTTGTCTTTGACAGACATCACAAGCACACACAAATTCTCTCACCGACTTCTGCATTCCAAGCCAATATAAATTATCCGCCAGCTTCCGATAAGTTCTTAAGAACCCTGAATGTCCATCAGTAGGAGTGCAGTGAAATTCCTCCAACAGAAGAGGGATAGATAGATGGGGACTTAGGAGAAAGAACTAGCCTGTCATGATAAAACAACATACCTTGTTTAACAAAATAGCCTGGCTTAGAATCAGGAGCAGACAACACGGTTTGTATCATGTTCTGAATTTCTGGGTCATCTTTCACCTCATCTAAAAGTTTCTTGCGATTGGTCCATTGAGGGTACGAAATCAAAGTACCCAATTCAGCATCATCATAACACTTGGATAGAGCATCAACAACTTTGTTCTCCATCCCTGGTTTGTACTTCACCTCAAACTGATAGCCAAGCAACTTAGCCAACCAACACTGTTGGTCTGGGGAAGTTATTCTCTGCTGCAGGAAGTGTTTTAGACTCTTGTGATCAGTGTATACCGTGAACTGCTTTCCCAACAAATAGTGTCGCCAATGCTGAATGCACAATACCAAAGCCATAAGCTCTTTTTCATACACAGACTTTGCTAAATTGCCTTGAGATAATGCTTTGCTGAAAAATGCTACAGGTTTCCTCTGCTGCATTAGCACTGCTCCGATACCTCTACCAGTTGCGTTACATTCCACTTCAAAGGGTAGAAAAAAATTAGGTAATACCAATACAGGGGGTGAAGTCATGATAATCTTCATCAAGTGAAAAGCTGCATTTGCCTCTGTTTCCCATACAAAGTTGTCCTTCTTGGTCAGTTCAGTCAAAGGCTTGGCCACCTTGTCATAGTCCTTAATAAATTTTCTATAGTACCCCGTAAGTCCCAAAAACCCACGAACTCCTTTTACGTTCTTTGGTTCTGGCCAATCCAAAATGCAGCTTACTTTCGCAGGATCTACTGCTACTCCTTCACCTGAGATGATATGCCCCAAGTAATCAATCTGCTTACACCCAAACTTACACTTAGCTTGGTTTGCAATAAAACAGTTCTCAAGTAAAACAGCAAGAACCTGACTTAAGTGCTTCTGATGCTCTTGAATGTTCTTACTGTATATGAGGATATTGTCAAAAAAAAACTAAGACAAATTTCCTTAAAAAAGGCCTAAAAATATCGTTCATAGTTGCTTGGAAAGTTGCTGGAGCATTCGTTAACCCAAA